ATTAAGTTCGATTAAAACTGTTCATCGGATTCAATAAAAATTGCTCCAGTGATGGACTACTAGTTTGTATTTAGATTGTAGTCCATCATGGGAGCAAGCTTGGATCGGTGGAAGTAAAAAAAAAAAAAAAGTGGTATGCAATATAATACATTATAAAGCGGCGCAATGCAGAATATCAGCAGCTATAGAGGAATACAACAAAGCGCAGCAATAGTACATTATACTATTGCTGGAATTTGTAGTCCTCTGTAGCTGGCGTTATTCTGCATTGCGCTGTATAATTTATTATTGCTGGGATTTGAAGTCCTCTACAGCTGGTGGTATTTTGCAGTGAAAGGGTTAAAGGCAAACTTAGCCTTTAACAGACCTCTGATGTCTGCATAAAGGACCAGTCAACAACAGGTTAATATCCCATATAGTGCTTGCAAGGTTCTCTGTGATAATAATATTTTGTGAAATAAAAATAGAAAACAGAATGTTAAAAAAAAACCTCACCACTCACGCACCTACTTGGTCTCTACCGGCCGAGCCTCTAGTGTTCTCTGGCGGCTCTACAACGTTAGAACTATTTCAACATTGAAATGCTCAACGACTTTTGAATGGTTCTTTTAACAAGTCAGTCAAGCATTCTCAATGTCATCATTGAGCCTATAGTATTTCTGATATACCCAAGAGCTACATTTTAGTTAAAAAAATCCTAGTTTAAATCACATTATGGTAAAATGTACCACAAATCACATAAAGGATAAAAATGATAATGCAAAAATAAAAGTTCCGCTTCTAACACAACATATAAAAGTTTGGCCACAATAAAATGGCCGATCATTGTAGGGACCATAGAGTAAAGCGGAACTAAAAGTGTGTTACTAGAGCTAGTTCCGGGTCAGGAGGTGGAGCCATGAGTCCATGTGGTGTGTGAATATCTGAGAGCAATATCCCAACACGAGTGATCTCTGGAACTTTACCCTCTGTAAGGTATATCAACTCATCGTATAGTGTATGATATATACATTTCATTAGAGCGGAATTGTGAACTAGTATGTAGCTGCCGCCAGTAAAAGGAAGTAACATCTTGAAGTGTTTGTTATGTCTGGGCACAATGTGAATTTTGACAAATCTGGATTTTGGCTTATCAACTAGTATTTAATGAATAATAATAGTTCACATTTTGTGTTGGTTGTGTGCTCTAAGAACGAATGAACTAATTGTCATTTTATTGTGTGCATAACATATATATATATATATATACACTTGAAAAAATGTAGGGTGTCTCACCAGTCAAAAATTTCACCAATCAGCATGACTGGACTATAGCCTTGCAATTTATGTTAAAATTTTTTAGGGGCAGATAGAGCTTTCTTTTGGAGGTATATAATCACCAATGCGGTTTTTATTTTTTACTATATAATGAAAAGAAAATGTTTTCCCTACGTTATGTTAAACATTTTATTTTTACCCATATTTTTGGTAAAATATAAAAGATGGTGTCACGTCGGGTAAATAGACACCAAACATGTCGAGCCTTAAAATGCGCGCTCCCGCAAAATCGCCCACCCCGAAAATTTGCCATAGGTGACGCTTTAAACACTTTTACCGCTCATCAATTTAGTGTCATCAGTGATTAATGGCCCTAAAATGATTGCTCTCATTCCGACGTTCGTGGCCATATGTAACGTGCGGCACAATAGGCGGAATTGTTTTTGTTTTACGTAGGTGCACCTGATGCATGTTTGCGTCTGTATGTGGGGACTTAAAAAAAAAATCACAAATTTTTTTTATGCTTTTAATTTTTTTTTTTTACACTTAACTTTATTGCTATCACATGGGGGGGGGCTAAGAAGACCCCATATGTGATAGCCAATATACATGACAGGTTCTCTTTATGGACACATCAAGGGTCTCCAATGTCACCTAGGGACCCCTAGAGAAGCTGATAAAGCGGAGATCTGCTTCAGCAGCTTCTCACCAGCATCTGTTGCCGGTGAGTGACACTGAGTGCGGAAGTGATGTAATATACATCACTTCCTGCATTTGGGGACCGGAGAGGCGGTCATGTACTGATCTCCTTTTGATCTCCACTAACAGTCGCCGTCAAGGGTCTCCAAGACCCCTAATGTCACCAGGGGGCCCAAGAGAAGCTGATGAAGCAGAGATCTGCTTTACCAGCTTCTCTCTGGCTTCTGTAGCTGGGAATGACAGCAGAATGCGGATGTGATGTAATATACATCACTTCCTGCATTCGGGGACAGGAGATCAGAGGGAGATCCTGTTCTGATCTGCCGATCCCCGCACTGGGCACATCGGGTCTCGGGACCGGCAACGCCAGTGACAGCTGCTGCTATTACAAGTGATCGGGCGTCTCTAGAGACGCCCGATCGCTTGAATGTAAAGCTCCCGGCTGGCCCTTTAAACCACATGCTGATCGGGGTGTTTACACCCCCTTCCTGTCCAGGCCATTTTTCAGTATTTAGCGCTGCGGTACTTTGACATTTATTCCGTCATACAACGCTGTACTGAAATTAATTTTATACCATTTTTTGGGGGCAGAGCTTTCTTTTGGTGGAATTTAAATTTCCACACCACTGATATATGTATGATAATATAATGTTCAGATACCAGTGCCGATACTTGGCATTTTCACGAGGAACTACCAGGGTTGCAGCTGGGAGCTGGCTCTGGTGCTCCACCACTGTCCTGAAATCATTAGTCTGTATTGTTTTAGAAAAACTGTCACATGACAATAAACAAAAGTGTGCGAGTACTTGAACAAGTACTTGGTCTGGGAAAAAACTGGTATCCGTGCATCCCTATATGGATGTACAGTGCATTCAGAAAGTATTCAGACCCCCAGTTTCAATTCTTTTTTTCCCCTCATTAATCTACACTCAGTGCTCCATAATAACAAAGTAAAAACAACATTTTAGAAATGTCTGAATTTATCAGGGGTGTGGAAATTTTTGAAAAAAAACTACTTGTCCAAGGGCTAACGTGGGGGTCAAATCTACTTGTCCTAATAAAAAAAAAAAATAGTTTTAAAAGTTTAAAACTAGGGATGCATCAATACCAGTTTTTGGGTATCGAGTACCAATATTTTGCTTTCAGTACTCACTGAGTATTGGTGCTTCCGTTGGCATGGAGCAGGCTTCCCTGGCAATCAGGAAGCCAGGCAGCGGGTAATGAGATGCTACCCGGCTTCCTGACTGCCAGGGAAGCCGACTCCATGTTGTTTGGCCGGCTTGATTGTGAATGGCTGGGAATCTGCCTGGCATGACTGGGGTGCCATTAGAAAATAATGGCACTGCCAGCGCGATCGGCAGTGGTGTGCGATCTGTGACTGCACGGTCATTGTGCACGAAACCGAGCGGATGGATGGGTGGTCACGGAATCGCACACCACCGCCGATCATGCTGTCAGTGCCATTATTTTCTAATGGCACCCCAGTCATGCCAGGCAGATTGCGCGTTTTCCTACTGCAATACCGCTGCGGGCGATCACGGTTGAAAACACGTCGCGGTGCATGTCGTGAAAATAGGTACATCTACCTTTTTTTTCAGCGATTGCCATGCAGATGTAACCCCATACATGCCGATGCAACCACACACGATCGCACGTCCTGGGAATCCCAAAGTCTGCACCAACCCTAAAGGGTAAATTCACTTTCCCAAGTAATTTTGGAAAATGGAATTACCCGCACAAATCTTCCTCCCACTATACTTACCTTTCAGGAAACGGTCCTTCCCGTCCACCAGTACGGTTGTACTATCTGTACCTGTTCCATGTAGTCTGAATTTCGCTCGCAAATTGCAAATACTCGTTGGTCAACGCAGTCACCTAACAGCACGGACCAATGAGAAGCGCTTCTTAGCACCGCTAAATACGGTTTTGGTTAAAAGAATTTTTTTTGTATCAGGACAAGTAGATTGTCATGAGGGACAACTAGATTCGGCCCCTGCTTTAGTCCTTGGACAAGCAGTTTTTTCCAAAATTTCCACACCCCTGCTCTTACTAAAGCTTTTCTTCCCCGATTGCCTAGTTTGGCCGTGCTACCAGTTCTTAGAGTCTTGGTTGTGCCAAACTTCTTCCATTTGACAATTTATGGAGCCCATTGTGTTCTTGGGAACCTTCAGCGCAGCAGAAATTTTTTTGTAGCCTTCCCCAGATCTGTGCCTTGCAATAATCCTGTCTCGGAGCTCTGCAGGCAGTTCCTTTGACCTCATGGCTTTTGCTCTGATAAAGTATGCATTGTCAGCTGTGAGGTGTGCGCCTTTCCAAATTTATGTCCAATCAATGTCATCACAGGTGGACTCCAATTAAGGTGTACGATCAAGAGAAATGGGAGGCAACTAAGCTAAATTAAAAGTGTTGTCGCAAAGGGTCTGAATACTTAATCCAATGTGATATTTCAAATTTTCCTTTTTCATACATTTGCAAACATTTCTAAAATTCTGTTTTTTTTTTCGCTTTTGGTATTATGGGGTACTGAGTGTAGTTTAATGAGAGAAAAAAAAGAATTTAAACAACTGTAGAATCAGGCTGCAACATACCAAATTGCAACTAGTGAAAGGGGTCTGAATACTGTGTGTGTGTCCCTGGTAGAACTGGGAGCTTGGTAGGTAGGAGGGTGCTGTCTATCATGGGAACTCTGCAGCAGGGAGTGCTGGAATGGGGTTATAAGTGTACATTATAATTTCCTTTGTACGTGAACTCCCTTGCAAAGACTCTGCCTTTGCATACAATCAGCTACTGGAATCTCAAGAAGAAAAAAAAAAAAAGATTTAAGTAAAACTCTACCATAAGGTATCAAATTTAGATACACTGGTCCATTTAAGAAAAAAAGCTTATGTGGTAGTTATGATTCCAATGCATTCTACTGTGCTTTCACACTGTAATGAGCGATTAGCTTGTGCAATGTAATGTTATGGTATTAAACTTATGGGATGTTATGGCTAATATTGAGTTATAATACATATTTTCTTTCCTTTCTACTTTTAGCGCAAAAACCAGGCCCCAGCAATGACTTCTTTAGTCCACCAACTAAAGTGCCTTTCATTGCCACAGACTGACCCCAGCTTGAGTCACCGTCAACAAGTTGCTTCTCTGTTGTTTGAAGCCAAAGAAGCTGCTCTCATTGACAGAGGCACCTTTTTTGCTATTGGTGAGTCAAAATGTTTATTTGCATTTACACTTGTCTAAGGAATATCTCCTACTGAGTTTTTTTTTTTTTTGTGAAATACAGTTTTGTCTAGTGATAAAACGTGGCCATCTACAGTATGTCTGTTGTGCTCATAATCTCATTTGAGGTGCAAAGTAACTCATTCCCACAGCTTTTGACAAAAGCTCACGTAGATGGTCAGTCTCCCTACCAAGTTGACAGGGTTTTCTAAAAATATAGAAATTCGCAGAAACACACAAAACCATCACCCTGGCAAGGTAATTATAAACTGATTTGTCAGTGACTGCAATCTTTCTGTCATTTTACTAAATTTGGTCCACTCTCCACTCATTTGAGTTTGACACTGCTGTTTTGAGTGGAAAAAAAAATCAAGGAATCTTGCTTCAATTAGTCATACCTACTTGTAACGGACCTGTTTTTCTCCAGTGATCTTCAAGGACAAGTACGAGAGATGATTGGCTCCTCCATCTACAGGAAACACAAGCAGACTCTTTAAAACCTAGGCCCCCAGTTCTGTTTGTGTTTCCTACCGCCAGGAAAAAGCAGCATAATGTTTTTGTTTGAGCGGATTGCTGGGTGCTCGGTGGTCTCCCCTGGTGGTGTCCCTAGTTGTGACAACTGCTTCCTACATTTCTCCCCAGAGTTTGCCCTTCCTCCTTTGTGCCAGGCTTACTTTTCCCCTGAGCATGTGCCTTCCTTGAGCAGAGGTGGACGGTGGTTTGTAGAGCGCAGCGGTGGTGCACCTAGGCAAGTGGCTCTTCCTCCCCCATGGGCGTGGCTGGATGAATGGGTGGGACTCTCTCCTTCTTCTTGGCCGTAGACCCATGCGGCACCATTGATGCACTTCCAGCCTGCAGAAATGCCAGTGGCTGTAGACCGCAGCCATATATTTAGCTAGGAAGTTGGATGGCGGAACAGATGTGACCCAGAGGATGCCAGTGCAAGGGACCTTCAAGGCACCACCAGGGTCCATACCCAAATTGGTGAGTACAGTCCATCATGTGGTTGTTTGATGGGCTTAAGTCTATACTTGTATAGTGGAGTATTCTCCCGGTCACGAACACAGTGACCCCTGTCTGTAAATTTGTATCAATTAACCTGTTCCTATTGATTTTTTTTCAGGCATACATGTCTGATAAACCTTTCTCTATAAAGATTACTACTG